ATCAGATTCACCATGGCAAAGCGGCTGGAACTGGCGGTAAATATTGCTTCGATAGCACTCGCTTGACTACATACCACTTTCAAATTTCAAGCTATTTTTTGCATTTCCACCGAGCTGGAATTCATAGAAGTACTAAGGTCAAATGTGCTGGTTCGGTGCCTCTATTTCTGAGCTAAAAAATCTGCCAAAAATTCAAACAATGCTAAAATTCAGAAATACTATGCAAAAGCGCGAAAATAGCCTTCCTAACATATGTAACAGCACAATCCCGCCGGCGAATTTCTGCAAAAATTTGCACATAAAGAGCAAGGTCGCAAGGACCACATTAGCTTCTGGGCAACCTGATACCTATCAACCAGGGGCGGTATTCAATCCTTCCCCCAGGGGTTGGGGGCCGGAAGTCCCTTTAAATTTATTTGTTTATAACGATGTAGTTTCTCCATTTCCAATGCATGCTTACTGTGACATAAATACATACATTAAACCTAGCCCCTTTATCAGGACAATCCCAGTTGGGAAGACCGAGAAAATTTAAAGGGTTTTTCGTCCCCCAACCCCTAGGAGAAGGATTGAATACCGCCCCAAGTTGCCTAATCTCGATAGAACTGCTCAATAATACACAGCACTTGAGGTTCGACCTTATTGTTAAACGACACGAGCACAATCGACTTGTGAGTTCTAGGCCTCAACACTTCGCCTTTAGATAAACTAAAGTTAATAACGCTGGGCGAAAGTGGTGTAGTGGCAAGTGGCACGCTTACCACGCGAGCGGGCCAGGGATGAAATACTGGGTAGTGAGTCATCGGGGTCAACTAAGCCTTCCACCCCTCCGGGATCGGTTTATTAATACCAGACTGTCTGGAAGGGTAAAAACACTGACTTGGACATCGGCTGGCCTCCGCAAGTCATTGTATAGGCCACATCGCATTCAAACGCCACTACTATGTACAAACGGAAGTAGAATGCGTGCCGCATCCCTATAAGGGATTGGTCAACGGCAAATGCTTCATCCTTTTATCCATCAAAGTTGATAACATCAAATATCAGCTCAAAATCAAAACACGTTTGGTCATAACCCCTAAGCCATCGCTCAATCTTTGGACTAGTTCGTGCATCTCGAAGGGTGTTCCTCAAAGCTCATTACGCTCTGCGAGTCTACCGCAATGTAGTAGAAGAGGAATACTCCAAGGGTGATGGAGCACCAGCCAAACCTTGACGGTGCCATTGATATGGGATCGTGCGCTGCCGCGCCATCCAGATAGATCGGTCCGGGTCATAGCGAAGTCACCCGCAATGTTAGGACTGCGTTGTATCCTATCTGGTCAACTCAGGTGTTTCCTGCCTCAAGGTTTCCTAGGGATGATCAGAACAGCATGAAAAAGATAAGGTAACCGATGGTTCACCGTGAGTGGAGAATTCCACCAAGCGTTGGTTCCAAAAGCTAAAATTAAATCATTGGGGCCACCTTCGAATTTTAGTGCTCAAGTGAAGCTTGTAATTTTTGGATGCACAGGGCCAATTTTTGCTTATGGGTAGCTAGTTAACTCCGGTAGAACAGAAAAGAAGATCCATGTACAGGCTCTGGAAAAAATGAAAATTTCCGATACTGATCCATGAGTCCTCTCTTATCAAACGAGGAGATATCTTATTGTTTTGATCCATTCCGCCCAGGATTCAGACAAGCAAATCCATTGCAGTTTATGTGCAGTCCTTCAGCATAATTGTTGTGGTAGATACGCCTCAGCGCCAGACGCATTTTTGAAAATAGAAAAAGTGGCAGCCGCAGAACAGACCGCATCTTGAAATCCACTTAATTCACTATTAATGTAGAAGAGAATATTTAGTAGGACAGAATATTCTCTGTCGAATATTATATGGAGCCATGTGAAAGTCTGGAAGCTTAGAGTTTTTTTATTTGAAGAACCCGACGTTATTTATGGGACCACCTGATAGCACAAGGAAAAAAGACATACCCTATAAGGAGCCCTGCCTTCCCTCTTTTTTCTTCCTCCGCTATGGTGATCAGAGTTCGAAATTATATTCCATGGCATTCATCTCATTAGTATGGCCACTTCGACCTAAATCTATACACTTGAATGTGTATCGAGAGTGTTTAGGTTCTCAGGTCCCCCCCCCCCCAGTTCTGTTGTCTCACTTGAAAAGAGACGAATCGGAAATTGATGCCACGCCAGTGTATGTATGAGTCTCTTGCGTCTCTATGCTTTCTCTTTCTTTCATTGTCAAGATCTCTTCTCTAGACGCGCACTCTCTTTCGACGTATGTTGAAGATCGGTCCAAATGAACTGTCATCAATGAGCTACTTTTTGGTGCTTCCGACAATTTCTTTGACTCCTTCTTCACATTTAGATCACACTTCACACATATTTCTAAACCAGGACCTATTTCGTCTCCCAATCAAAGGGCGTGCATCAATGCGGTCGTCTCACCAAAACGAGGGAGATGTAACAACATTGAAAAGGGAGGATTTAGTCGTCAGAAGACTGCTGTGATCTTTCGACCTTCGATAGTTTGAAACCCACAGTGGAGTTAGCAGAACTAGGAAGTCTAATTCGAACAGAATTGCCAATTGGAAGTTTGGGTTACACTATAAAACAAAGCTCGCAATTAACGCGTTATCAGTCTCAACCTTTGAGTCCTGCTCATTTAGTAAATCGCACAGCATTCCTGGTTGAGTTTCTCATCATCCACTGAGAGCTTCGATTTCGAGCACCACCTTTTCTATTGAGCTGGATCATTTAGCTTCTATAGACACTATATGTTGCACGATCCAGTGCAAGTAATGTCCTTGCGAGACAATCTGCAATGCTTAATTGGAGCAAACTGCTGCTCCACACATGTGGTGGTTCTCGCCCAGCAGCAGCAGAGGCGGCCTCCTATTGATCCCACTACGTCAATTTGCCACGTAATGCCAGCTCCATGCTTGCTTTAGGGTGATGAATATGCTCAAGTTGGTCGCATCGCGAACGCTTGCTCAAAATCCATACATATCGTTTCCATCTTAGTGGGCGAATGCAGCCGAAGCATGTTACGTGAGAAAAATCCACAAGTAAAGGCACATCACCTACATTCTGAGGTCGACCTCAATCTGAAGGGTCCAATGGATTTATTAGCGGCGGAAAACCATCGCTCACAAATGTTGCGTGAGAAGCTATCGGAGGCCCGCTTGAGTGTGGGTAAAATGCAGTTGTGGACAAGGACGAATTTGTTTCGCTCACGTTCAATAGATTAAGGGGTCGAATTAATTTTTGCTGCCTAGAAAATTGTTATTGTTTATTACACAGGCATATCTGTGTGGTGAAAAAAGTGAAAGGTGAGAATCGTCAAATAACAGGTAAACGACATAACAGTAAACAAAATGTGCAACTCAAGAGAATTGACGTGAGGAATGTCAAACTAAGTTTTGAGGTATAGAAAAGGGTAAAGCATTTGCCGTTGATCAATCCCTTTGTGGGATGTGGCACGCATTCTACTTCCATTTCCACATTCGTAGTGCGTTTGAATGCGACGTGCCGTATACAATGACTTACTGGGCCAGCCGATGTAGTCAGTGTTTTTTATCCTAACAGACAACTCTGGTACTAATTAACCGACCCTGGAGGGATGGAAGGCTTGTTTGGCCCGGGTCACTCACGACCGAGGATTTGATCCCCAGACTGCTCGCATGGTAAGCGTGCCGCTTGCCGCTACACCACTTCCGTCCTCACGTTTGTTTTGAGGTACTCTAAAACGTCTTTAAGGGAAATAGGTTTGATGGTGGGTACTTCCACGGCGCGATATATGGGCTGCTTAATTGCGGACTCAAAGAAAACGGAACTTGTCATTCCCATCATTTATACGTGAAGTATTCTCGACCAAATCCTATCATTAAATTGTTCCTCGGTCTATGAGTGCAATTTTACCGGGAAGAATCGAATCGTCGTCGAAAAATCGTGGGGGGAGGGAGGTGTACCCGAGAAGAGCTATATCTCTGCTTGCATTTGGGAAAAAGAGCAGCTAAAGGACATCAACGGCTTCTCAAAGACGTTCTGAATGTTTTTCAACGCAAATTGTAGGAAGAAATTGAACCAGACAAATCCGCAAAAAAACGCGAAAAAAAGCGAAGCATACGCTCAAATTATTTGATATTTGATTTGTCTTCTGCCATGGATATTCGCAGACGACTGGAAAAAAATTGCTATGTAATAAGCAACCTGTGGTAAGGGTACCAAGCCTCTACTGAGGGGAAAATTTTCTGAAAATCACGGAAAGATGATTTTCTACCGCGATTCCCCTGGCGTCTGACCACCGCCCAAGGGTTTGATTGTAAAAAGGTATTGAAAATGGAACAGTGGATTCTCTCAATACCAGTCCATTCTGGGGACTTCACCTCAAGTGAATCTTATCCACTTATCTTGAAGCAGGACTCAATCTGTGGTTTTCGGAAACGTCAAATTTTGGGTGGCTAACAGGATTGGTCCGTAGAAAAAAAAACTGGCTCAGCAGATCCCAATTTCTGCTAGAGGAATGGATAAAAACTAGCAGTATCCAGGAAGATGTACTTTGACTGGTACAGCATGTCCGATTTGATCCATATAAATACTCAAAAATGCCAACAACGGTAGGAATCAATGTCCCCTAACAGCTTCCCACAAAAAACTGATTGATTGGTCGGAAAATTGACTGAATTTTTTGGTAATTTATGAGGTAATGAAATAATTCAGTAGGTCTTGACGTACTAGCCGTTTTCACATAGCGACCGCGGTGGTTCCGCAGAGTTTACATCAAGTCGACAGAAAGCATGATCATATCGGGGCCTTGCTTACCGGAAAACCAATGGCTCTGTTAGACTGAACGACTATTAGCTTAGATGTCTTGGTCTGCCTTCCATCTGGATGCTTTTCCCAGCTGGTGATACTCTGCTGCTTACCTTTGTCTGCGTCACTTTGCTTGGTGTACTATTTGAGTGCTGCCTGTCACGTTGTGTAACATCTTGTCACTAGATGGCAGCCACCGCTGGTGCTCACTCGTTCCGTCGCCTCACTCTTCATAACCTGTATAGTCAATCTAATACGCGCAGAAAATCCAGTACTGCAGTCACACAAACTGTAGCAAGCCCTTCAACCCTCCCCGAGCAACCGTTTTTTCCGCTTCCGCTTTATTACTACCGGAAGCCACCATCTCGACCACCATCGAGACCTCCTAGTGGACCGCCAAGTACACCAAGTCGCCTATCTCGGCATAATACTGCCAGATCCGATGTGGGTGAGTTAAGAAACGCGCAGATATGATTAGCGTGATTTTCTCGCACTTCCTTCATTGAACTAACTGACAAAATATAACGCGCGCTAATTTTGTTTCATCTGAAGTTGGTCCAACCCTGTTATAATCAGTGAGCCTGTTTTCCAGCGTTCACTGCTTCTTAGTCTTTCAATTCCATGCATTTCTTTTGGATGGTAACAAAATCTTAACTTTACCATACGACTATAAGTAAAAACTTTTGCATCGTTGTAAATATCCTCAATAAAGTTGTGGAAGCTGTTAGAGAACGCTGGTGAAAAGTGGGTTCCTAGCCTTGAGTACGTTTCTGGAACTGCTATTTGCTAGCGAGTTCTTCCGGCTTTTGCTGGACCCTTCCAACTTTAATCACAAAAAGATCTCTGCCATGAGCGTGATGGAAATTACGAATGCGCTGTAGGGTTTTCACACCTGTCCCGCCATGCTGGCAAGCTGGATCTGTTGTTCCTGAAGAGCAACTACATAGAACGCTCCAAAGATCACCTGTATCACCAGACAAACACCATTGGGATATTTAGATTAATTGTATGGTAGATTTCGCTTCCCTTGAGCCTATTCTACTTTTGATAATTCCTTAACCTAGGGAACTGTGCATGCGTGCTGGCCAAAATGATCACTTCAGTGTTCAGTTCTTTTAAGTCAGAAAGGCTAAGGGATAGCCATCCTAGCTCATAGCGTGGAATCCGTGAAAAGCAAGGATCCAGCTTGAGTCTTCACTGTTTCTATAAGTAATGCCTGAAGGAATCGAATCGCGATCGTGGATGCCTTAAAGGCACATTCCACGTTGATCATACACTCTAGCGTAATTTCACCTGGCAGATCTTTTCCATTTAAAATATGAACTCATTCAGGGTAAATCTGAAAGCACATGCTGGTTCAGCGCCGAGTTTCAGAAATTTTCCCTGTGCCTCGAACCCCAACCTTTTTTTTCTAAACGGCTTCGCAGTTATATGGCGAATGAGAGACACTTAGTGGAACTCTGTGAGGTTTCGTTCGTTCTGCTGCCTTTTGTTCACGATCGAGTGTGTTTGAGAGGCCACAAAGTCTGTAACCTGTAAAGGTCTTGTTATTTCCGAGCGATAGTGCCGAAAAAAAAATGACTCACTGAGTTCGAAATCGCGTGTCATGGTAAATATTTTACTATGCACCATGTAGGCTCGTGCGTTTTTGAAAGATATTTCTGATTTAAATGTAAATTTTAAAGGAGTATTTGGTGTTTGTATTTTTTTTTCATTGCTAGTTATATAATGCACCTAGTAAAAAACTGGGCGTGGGCTCCAATCAGATTGCCGTTTCAGAAATCTGGCAAATCTGGCGATTATGAAGCAGGCTTACTTTTGTGTTACTCAGAATTTACTGCGCCGCTGTAAAATCGCCCTCCGATAACGAGGCGTGAAATAGACGTAAACAAAAAAAAACAAGGAGTGAAAACATCTCGCTTTTTTTGCAACTAGGGTGGAGTACATGGGCACACATGTAATGGGAAATATTCAGCTTTTTTGCTGCTTTGCGAGCCTCTGTTTGAAAGCGATAAAAATCAATATTGTCTTGATTTTACGTCCTTGATTTTTTAGCATTCCATTCCCACACCATTGGTCCTTCTGACATAATTGCATTCGGATTTCCGACAGCTTTTCAGCACGGATAAGAAATCCGACTTCATTGATTTTCCGCCGTTTTATGCCATTTGTTGGGCTGGCGCTCTCTACCAAAGCATTACACAGTGAGCCTCTACGAAAGCTACTCTTAGGGTATCTGGAGTTAATAGAAAAAAAAGCGAGTACAATGGTAGCCCCCAGGGCTACCCGCTCCAGCTGGACGTTTTTCTTCTCCTCCCTTTTAGTTTCCACTCAATCTCTAGGTCAACCTAGAGGGCCTCCCTGTCTCAAAATTCGTCTATCATTTTGTTCATATTATTCAGCGTTTCTGCAACTTTGGGGGCCCACTTTTCTGTTTTGCTGATGCCCTTTTTTCCCCTTAGATGCTTGAATGGGATGGAGGCCAAAAAGTTTCAGGTCTTCATGCAACGCCTCACCGTGAACCCACATATTCCTTTCTCGACCTGCAGGTGGTGCTGAAGGGGTGTCACGATATTTGTAGTGACGGACCTTAAAGGGTAGGGCTCAATTCAAGTATATGTGTTTTGAAAAACACTCAGAAGGGGTACATTGTCAACTGTAGGTATACTACCATACCAGAGCGTTCATAAACAAATCTGTTGCGTCATCCACTTCCTATAAATGACTTTCTGCACTACAGAAATTGGTGGCAGAAGGACAAACAGACGCAACTTAATTGTTTGCAGGGTGTGGAGTAAATAATGTAAAAAAAATTATCAAAGCGCAGAAAACGCGATTAAAGTTAAACACAAACAAGTTTGCAAAAATCCACTTTGCAACTCAGCATTGGAGCAGCTGCAGATTTGTTAGAGAAGATTGCCTCTGCCCGAATTACTGCGTAGGGCTCTTCGGAGAATCTCGGCCCGCGCTTTCTTCGCTGAATTCTTCAGGACTTTTTATTTGCGGCAATTTCTATAGCAAGGACTCACCCTCTAACAAAAAGGTCCGCTGAGAAGGGAATTCATGGGACCCATGGGTAAAGTGCGTAAATGGTAGCGAAACCAGCTTTGAACAACAAAACAAGTGACAGTTCATGCGAGGCCAGAATGAATTTCTTCACTTCCTTTCAGTAAAATTCATAAAGGTGATTATCGTTAGCATTTATGCAGTGGGTTGACGCAATTCTTGTCAGCAGAAAATTCAGATTCAGCTGCGAGAGGGGAAAATAGAGTTAGGGCTAGTTGTGGGTTTGGCTGCTTATCTTCGACCGGACCTCCCATTTCGCAGGCCTGAAATTTTAAAGCCCTGCAACGTATGTTCAAGCGAAATATAGGTCTTTGTAGAGCAGACAATTATAGGTCTTTGTAGAGCAGACAATTCTCTTCCGAACCGTGCATGGGTTGTTATGAAAACAGAGAAATAGAGCGAATTTTATTGTTTGAATAAAAACGACACTGATTATGGGACAACCTAATAGATTGAGCGCAATTTGTGCCTATGTACAGCACCATTAGCAAAATTCATTGTACCAGAAGCCGTCTGGAGCACGAACTCATTTTCCCAGTCAGGTCGCGCCCTTGCGGCTTAATCCTGTGAATAGCTGACAGCAATAATCGCTTCAATGAGTGACGAAGAGCGCTCCACAAACGCAAAGGATGAGGGGCCCGACCGCGCACGGAGGGATGATATGAACGTGGATGGAGGTCGGAAATCCCATTAGACTTGCGTCCACCTGAAACGAATTTCTTGGCGTGTGCTGTATTGTCTGTATATCAGAGCCTTTTGATTTACTCGCCCAGTTTCTCGTCCTGGCTCCCCATATCTCCTCGCCGTAAGCTCTTCGGTTACCGAAAAGCAACCAGAGAGTGATGGCCTTCCTTGAGAAGCTACAGTTCGTTTCTTGTCTAGCATAGGCCTTCAGCACCTACACCACCTTGTTTGAATTCATATTCAATGTGATATTATCGACTTCAAACAATGGTTGAAATTCACGTGGTGAATGAGTTGCGGAACGTTCACTTCACCTTTGGTGATTCGTCAAGCTGTTTGCGTTCAGAGGGCTTTAAGGCTTTCTTCTTATCCAATTTCTCATTGGATGATGTGAGCTTCCATGACGAGCATTAGGAAGGATAGGTTCGAAATCCTTCTCTGGGCATCGTTCCCTATACGACATCTGCAGTAATACATATTTATTAGCTCTGTCCGAAAGTTCCAGCTCTGACTATCCCACCATTTCTTAAATATTTTACTAATAACGGCCTGGAGATTGCCTAAATAGATGGGGTCTACCGGACAATGCCACATGCTCGGACACACAGTTCCTTCCCTTCAGAGGGGCAGGAACTAGGACATAAAGAAGTCCTCAAGTATCTACACATCTTCTCCTTTCGTTAGAATTTTTTACCGCAGAAGAGTGAAGGTGGCGAAAGCGTCGATAATCGAGAAGGGCCAGTCTTATTAGGATTCTTAGGAATCCCGAATAATCGTCTACCCATACGTTCGTGAAGAATGGTCTCATTTCCAGGACATAGTTTGTCAGGAGAATTGACAATCTATTCTCATTTAGTGCTGAGCTATTACAGAAGGCACACCCTCCCTCATTGCTTACTTTCATTAGGCCTTGAATATGTGAGTAGGCGTTGCAAACTCAATATTTGATGGAAATGAGATGTGCATAATAAATTTCTTAGCTCCATCAACGGAGTTTCATTATTCCTATTTCCCAGATGGAAGTGCGCTATCATGGTCAGGATCGAATTTCAACCGAAAAGCACCCACCCATCCCTCGCCTTCCATTCGACCAATACCTTCCGTTGCATTCAGTGTTACCGGAAGATCAATAGTCTCTGATGAGTGTTTCTAATAAATGATGGGCTCATTAGGAGTTGGCCGGATCTTTCAAGTTGTCCAAAAACCCACGCTTCGTCTGCCCTTCAGTGATCTAGCATTTGTTTCCACTTTGCCGGAGCACTACCTTCCCGACTTAGTGCGAGGTAAATCAGTGAATATTAGAAAACATATGATTTTTCAGAAGGTTGAAAAGCATTTTCATATATTTATCAATTCTTATAACAGAACTGAAAGAGTTCCATTGGCTATGAAAGTTGTTTCGTTCGTACGTGAAAATATTATTTAAGAGAACATCGGTCGCGTTAAATGGGATGAGTTCCGGAGAAATGGCGATGACGCTCTGGAGGAAGATGTTTCCACATTCATACCAACGTGGAAGAAGGCCCTTAAGGTTCTCAACTCTCTTAAGAAAACACTATTTCTTTTTTCATGCAATTTTTTACAGTTACTCAAGATTCTTCTTCCTCATGTCGGCTTGAATATTCTTTTGCTGTCTTACATTGCCATGGGAGCCATAATGTTCATTTGGCTTGAAGCGGATCATGAACTGCAGAACCGGAAGGTAAATGATCCTCAGATTTTCTTTTCAGTGCTTTACATTGATGCTCAATTTTACTCCTTCATCGCACTCTATTTTACAATTTTTGTGGCCGTTTTCCTGGAGTGTGTCTTTCACAGGGAACTGAGCGGCAGTGTAGCGTTTAGGGCGATGTCTCGCTTTGAGAGGTAAAAATAAGGATGGGATTTTGCACTAACTTGATATGTGAGCTCATAGTGGTTCGGCGCCATTCCAATTGCAAAGTCTCATTCACGCGATTCAGCAGAGCTACACAACGGTGCTTGTCGGCCGTCCTAGTTTTTGATCGTTTTTTATGTCACGAGGTCCTTCAGCTCACCAAACGCGATTCATGACATTCTAACGCGGCGTGCCATCCAAGCAGGAGTCATTCCTACAAATATATATTTAGGAACAGGGTCAACCCTATGTTGCCACAAGCATCAACGGGGGGTCGTAGTTTGTTGAGGTTTGTGGTGGGGGGGGGTCGTACTTGTAGCGGTAGCACGAAATTACATGAGATGAGGTGAGAGCGCGCGGGAGAAAATTTGCCGTTTCACTCCCTCCCGCTCGACGGTGTTTTTTTTTTGAGGGAAAAAGTAGCTGTGAAGAGGGGGTCGTATGAAACTTCTCGAAAAGGAGGGGGGTTGTAAAAATTTTGCAAAAAGTACCAACGATAGGACCGACCCTGCTTGGGAAACCGTTCCCAAATAGTTCATTGACCCGTGGCCTTCTTTTTTTGTACGGCGCAAATATACCGAGCAGCTCAGAATTTTTTTGATGTATGAGTTGAAAAAATGGCGCTTACTGAATGTTTTTCCTTCTGGATATTTTATCTCCTCATATCTGGATGCAGATAGAATTTTAATGAATGCAATGGAATATTAACGTGAAACAGGTGGATCGTTTCAAGTAGTACAAGCCATCCCCAGTTTGTACCAGTGTTGAACCAATTCAAACCTGGGAACGAAAATGTTACAAAATTAAGCCACAAAATATCTGCTTTTATGAGGGGGAATTTTACATTTCGAAGCCACGAAATTCCAAAGGGGTAAAGTGATGTTTTTCTGAGTGATATGCCCCCGGATCCGTGCTTGTTTTTGAAATTTTGATTCTTTCCACATTGAGCCAAAGTGGCCCCCACTCCTAGCATGGATGTGCAATTTTTTGAAGAATCCGTTTCGTCACATCAATTTTGAGAAAAAGCACTCCTCCTAAAGGACAAACCGGTCTCATCCTGTAAGGGAGGCATGTGGCATGACAGTAGCTGCCGCCTGCAGAAATTCTAAATCTCGAAGAGGGAGGGGTACGTGAACTATAACATTTCCCTCGCGCTTCTAAACCCAATCCCAGCTCCCATCACTCGTGAGGAACTAGATTAGTTCAGGCGATATGAACTGTCGCACGGCGTGCCCTTCCCCCCCCCCCCTCACTCCCTCACTGAGTGAGACCCGAAGAATCATCACAGATCACCAATCTCCCTCAAGCGCTGTGTTGCGTTGAATTGGCCCCAATGTGATGCTTATAGGAGAAACTTCGAAGAATATATTCTATGTACGATAAAATTATCAACGAATCATCATCAATGTGTTCAGGAACCATGTTTAATTCCAGTCAGGTTAGTTCCACATTCTTACTTCCGCCAATAATTTTTCAAATAGGTTAGGGTCACTAATTTGAATATGATTTTTAAGCAGTCATTTTGTTTTATACTTTGATTCTGTCCTATTTCTTGACCATACGCCCATAACTCGTTTTTTAAAGTTCACTGAATAGTGGAGGCGCAAACGACCATTTTTGATGGTGTGCACAAATGGTGCCTGACTCGTGCACAAAAGCATTTACTAGCAACCAAACTTATCCCTCATAGTGACACATGGTGCAGTAAAATGGGTACTGAAAAAAGGGTAATCTACCCTTCAAAGGAGTGCTAAACTTTTGAAAGGTCGAGATACACCTTTGTGCAGTACGACCATAGCGGCTTAGCAGAAACTTGCTCGTCCTGGCCGCTACCTTACAAGGAAGGTCTTTCAGGGTGTGCCAAGCTTTGTCAAAACGGTCTTTTGCATGATACAGAGGCACATGCGGGTACCACAGGACCATGGTTAATTTCCCCTGAACGGCCTTCTGAATACCAGAAAAGGGGGTCCCTAGTCACACCTTTTTCACCAGTTTTTCAATCAAAGCCTATCTCTAAGGTTTACTGACGTTCGTAATCATGAATTTGGTACTACTTATTCATGCCAACTCCATTTTGCACGAATTTGGAAACGACAGCACGAAATGCAAAAACTTGTCACCACGAGGAATCGAACTAGGGACCTCTTTTCTGGTATTCAGCAAGTCATTCAGGCAATTGAACCATGCTTCTCTGGTCCCCATATGTGCCCCAATGTCATGCAAGAAGCCATTTTGATAAAGCTTGGCACACCGTGAACGACCTCCCTTGTTAGCGGGAGGGGGGAAGGTTTGCCGACGAGGAAAATCTAGAAGGAAAATGCGATAGGAAGTGAAATAGAACAGCGAAGAGCTGAACTTCCTCCGATTTTCTCGGCTACTCTTTTTTAGCAAAACGACGCACTTTTCGCGACGGTTTCATTTCAGATACACCGTATTTTTCGCTTTCCGCTAAAGAACGATCTTGGAATTTTTTTCAGTACATACATTACTATTCAGTGAGAGATTGTGCTCGAAATGAGACTCAATTTCCAAGCTTTTTTGATGAAATTGGGTGCTTTTCTTATAATGACGCCTTCAACTTGATCGAAAGCAAAGAATAACGTCCATCGCCCTTCTTAGTTCCATTTTCTACGGGATCCAAAAAGAAATGTCTAATCAGTTCATTGTTCCCCGTCCTTTTTTCGCGACGATTTGCCTCTTTTTCAAAGTACAAAGTTTTCTTTCGTGATAGCCTGAAAAAGACAAATTGATGGCTGCCAATAGGTTTCATCAAGCAAAAATGAAATACAATGGAGAAACACCAGGTGACTGTATTATTTGAAGACAGAGGAAAAGCGATCCCTTCTGAAAAAAAATTAGCATGAAATTTTTTGGCATTTTCAACCTGGGACATTGTGTTGATTTTTGGGTTCGCGATCAAATTAGACACATTTTCCCCTTGGACCTTTTCCCAAAATCTTTGTCGAAGAGGTTCTGAACCATTTCTGGGTGGCTGTATCATTAGGAGACGCGAAGTGTACGCCTCCTTGTAACTACTGAAAACTACGTCGTCAGATATGTAAAAAGGCGTCTCGTTGGAAAAAATTTCTGGATCTATTTTCTGAGCATGCGACTTTTCTGCTTCGAATGGTCATAGACTTCTTCAATTTGCTTCAGTAAAAATAAGCACGTCTTCAAGACCACTGCGAAACAAATTTTTGAAAATCCTTCGGCCAAGCTTGCACAGCATCCCCTGATGTCTGGGGTTTTTTGGAGTTCTTCGACGGTGATGATACCATTGCATAGATTCGGCTGACCCTTCCTACCAGAGGACCCCCCTGTTGTCCTGTCGAGGATTTCTCAACGCCCGCTTCACCCTGATCCAGCTGTATGGAGCTTTTTCATTCTTCGTTGCCCTTACAATGGGTGATCTGGCATTACCATGCTGGGAGCAGAATTGGCTTGCTATTTCCAAATGTTCGGAAGATGGGTCTTTCGCTTCATTTGAGCAACGTAGACCAGTGGTCACTGTAGGGTTTTGCTTCGGTCGGTTGCATTACTCTGTACAAAGAATAATCCGCGAAATGCATTGCTTCTCCTTCCTACCATACGCTTCGGATTTGGGACGTATTCTGCTTGACCTCCTTTGTCTACTCAGGTGGTGCAGGCTACTGTTGGGGTACAGGGCCCACTTCTCATTCCCAGTAATTAAACTGTCGGGGCATGTGTGTATGCGTATATTTGCGGAAAAGCAGCGGAGTGCTGACCTCCCGATCAATGTTACTCTATGCATATGGTACCCATGGACCTATTTTTTAAACCATGCCGATTGACTTCTGACTCCAGACCGTTTTGCTTGGCTTAGAGGTTGGGCGCCGGCGTCAAGGCTTTCCGACAGCTAAGAGTGGATTGATACGGATCCACCTCCTGCTCTTGTAGCACGTCCAAATCTGGTATTCTGTGCAATCTCATTGCGGATAGAATGGCTGTATTTCTTGAAGCTGGCTAGCCAAGAGCAGACTGCGCTCTTAGCTGGATCATTCTCCTGATTTCCTGCAAACAGAGGTAGGAGCCGTTAGGCCTGAGACCAGAAAAGAATAGAATTACCAGTATTGTACTATAAAGGGCATCAGTTGCGAAAACATATTAGTAAGTGGTAACTAATTTCAAGTAGAGGCCCAGGGTGATTTTATAGTGTTTCTTCCTCTAACGAAAGCTTCATTCGGTAAATGTTGATACAGTGCGTACCAAAAGTATGTGGACACCCTAGAATCGATTCTCAGGAGTCAGCTAAAGGCTTTTTGTGTTATGAAACCTTCACCATTAAACTCCTAGTGGTCGATAACTTACAATGACATTTTCGACAAAAGATTTCGTTCTAACTTAGCGAACTATTTTTCATGGAAAGTTTTTTCTTTGTATCAAAATTATGTAGACACCCTGAGGCAGATGAAGTTCCTGCTTTTCTTGCTTCTCGATTTCCTGACCTATTTTTACTTCTCCTTTCATCACTTATTCTGGCATCATTCTTCTTCACGGCAAGCGTTTTTCTGAAGAAGCCCGAGCACAGAATTGGGATCCCCATGCTTCTGAACCTTCCTGTTGCGAAATAGCACGTCAACCTGTCATGCGTCTTCGTAGGTTTGAGAGAAATCCGAAATCCTGATGCTAAGCTCTCGACCTTGACTGAGGGTTGTTCTCAATCGCTGCTTGTTCAAAACAGGAGAAGAATAGCCTTGATTTTTTAAATTTTCTTTTCGTTCTACTCAACTTTACGCATAAATTATCTTCCAATCCTAAAAAGACCAATCGGTGTCTCATTCATCAATTGAGGCACAGCACGAAGGAAGATGAAGAAGGCTTTGTATCTGAATGCGGGTTCGAGATTGGCAAGGTTGGAATATTCCACTCAAAAAAGGATCACAACATGATAACCTGAACCCACACAGACAGCGCTTTCATGGAAATGGTAAAATTAGTATAAAAACTTTCTGTGAAATTTCTCTCATAGACCAACTCGACTGGAAGAGAGAAGCTTATTCCTCACTATTCGGGTGGGTCTTGAGGTTTTGGAGAGACTTTGATCGGACCGCAGATGTGCTCGAAGAGACAATTCGGAAGATGTTCATCAAGGTCGTGGGTGGTTCCAAGGAGGGGACATTGAAGTTTGGCTCGCCAACATGTCAGGTGGACGACTAGGATTATAATGAGGTGCTTGAGTCCCGACTACAACCTTTTTCGAAAAGTCATGGTTGCAAATTACTTGTTTTGCAGGGTAGGTCCCTGACACCATTGTAGTTGGAAAATGCTAAACGCAACGGTTGATTGGCAAGTCGGCTAGCGTATTCCTCAAACTTCATCCTATATTGAAAATGTAGAGGTATCGTGGTTCGCGGTCTCTAAGTCATTGAACAAAGAGTAACATCACAAGTGACCTAACACGTCGGTGAAATTGGCTAGTTGGGAACAGATCTGCAAGACATGTATCCAGACCCATTCATAGACGTGCCAAACAGAATGGCTCAACTTACTAGAAACTTTCGTAGGCCTACTTGATTTCAGATTCTGAAGATATTGCCGTTTTTCAAAAAGTGTCCACATAATTTTGATACAAAGAAAAAATTTCCCATGAAAAATAGTTCGCTGAGTTAGAGCGAAATCTTTTGCCGAAAATATCGTTGTAGGTAACGACCACTAGGAGTTGAATGGTGGAGGTTTCATCACATAAAAGCCTTTAGCTGACCCCTGAGAATCGATCCCAGGGTGTCCACATACTTTTGGTACGCACTGTATTGGCGGAGACAACAATTTTGAATATGGTCTGCTGAAAATAAGACCAGGACTCATACTAGTAATCGGTGACCGATTCAGAATAGATGATCACTGTGATGCCGTACACCTTATGAAAAATGCTAGCTTACAGGTAGATAGTCGCTTGAGACCTCTGTTACGCATTTTGTCACGTACGCACGAATATGATGATAAATTTACGGAGAGTGGGCAATTATGGATTGACACTGAGGCCGAGATGACAACACGGTGAGAGAGGTTTACTTCTCATTTTTTTGCTTCTTAAGTGATTATTTAGTTTTTTGTAACATTTCTTAATAATCTTGAAATAGAGGTTTTTGTCTGTTGCCACATGGATTTTATTGGTTTAGATGGTCATTTGCTGCTGCTGTTTTGTATGCATTAACTGTGATAACCTCGACGGGTGGGTCGAGTTTCTTTCTTTTCTAAACAGGAACCCATAGTTATCTTTCTTCATAACTCATGCGAACACGAAATGAACAGAATAATCGATGGGTTGCTGTTTATTTATTTCTAAGAATTTTATCTGGAATATGTAAAAAAACGATAAACTTGCCATTTGTCTCTGATTTCAAAACCAGTCAGAATCGCATGTGAGTCTCCACTCATAGCGTTTAATATTCTTGCAAAATATCCTCTGTATATATGAAGCAGTAGTTTGGTGTGTCTTGGTGTGTGTCTGTAGCCAGTAGACTTGCGCACTGGGTAGACCCAAGAAGGACAGTTGGGAATGGTACCGGATGGGTGGTAAATTGTCCTCAAGGCATATATGATTGTAGGCAGGGCTCATCCAATTCGGGCATGGTAGTGGGCGTGGTCCGACCCAGTGGGTGCGGCTTGCGCCATCACCTGTTGAGAATATTTGTTTTTGCGCGGAACATTCGAATTGGTTGAAAACCATGTAATCGATTGGGTGCTGCAGTGGAAGTGGAGATTCTACTAGGTGACATGCTATCTATCGAAATCAATTGAAAGTACCGGATTTTGCGCGAAAGGTCCGAATGGGGTTGGGAATCCTAGTATTGACCAGTCGTATCGCCCGGCTACGCCGGGTTCTACTTTTTCTGGAGTCGGAATTTCCTCCCATCTGCACAAATTGTTCACTCGGGGATGTCGTTTTGCTTCGGACGGAGATTTTTGCACTGAGCTTCCATGATTTGCATGAGTTTATACACGCTCGAAAAAGAGTTGTATGTCCCATAAGATTCTAAGCCCTTTCTTTCTCGTGAACAAGCTGAACTTTGAAACTTTATGATCCATTGAGAAGAAGTCAATCACTGGTGTACTATCCACGTTGCCGAGCTTCCGTAAAAGCTCCTGCAATCAGACAGCTTTTTTTCAAAGGCATTATATGATGCAAAAGTCTGTTTTGAGACTGCATCACTGTCTCGATGGAAGTATGGTGGTTATACCTCCCCGAGGACAACAGCTCCAGTGTCATTTTTTTACAAACAGTTACACAAGCACTTAAAGAAGAAAACATCTCCTATGCACCTAGATTTTCTGTTCTAAATAACTGGCATATGACTCCATGATTCTGAGGGAAGATCTCGCTTTACTATTACCACTTCCTCTTTCAGCCTTCTTTTTCCCTCCTTACTGCATAACCTTCTTTTACATTCCATGTAGACGAACAAACTGGAAGGGAACCGAGGTAGCCGTTAAACTTCTTCGTTGAGCTGTCACAGCGCTCAAGCCTGGGCGTACGATCTAGACGATAAATACCAAGCGAAAGAGCACGCCGCTCTTGCGTGCCCGCCTCTTGAATGATCAGCGCGGACGGCGAGAGATCGTGAATTTCCGAAAGCCGAAAAAAATGAGGAAGGTGAACTGTACAAAGGAGCGTCCTTCTCACCAACTTTACTAGCTTGATTTTCGCATTACCGTGCTTTGGTCTTCGGGGTCATTCAGTTTCCAAGAATAGCGTGCTTACTATTAGGATGAAACAAAAGTTCTGAAACACTCAATTCGTGCTCTTTCTGTGTTTCTCCCGAATGTTCTGGAATCTTCCATGGGGGGGGGGTATATAGAAGGAGCGGACTGTGCTGCGTAGAGTGCTCAAATCAGCTTTCCCAATAATGGCGTTTGCATCGCACAAAATCAACTTCTCCCGTGAGATCATCCGAGCGCTCATCCTGAGAGAGCTTCGGCTAAAGAAATCTGTTCGCAAGAGGCGCTCTGAGCAGGGTCAACCGTCCGTTCGAACTGTTCGAACGAAGGGGTCGCATTTTGGTCGGAAGGGGGTCGCAATTTCGAGGACTGCCAGCCACAGGCGCGTGCGTTGCGTATCCGAGGACAAGACTTGCTTGTGCAGACCGCATTAGATTCGATTTATTATGCACAGAGAGACAGTTTTAGACAAATTACGGTATTTTCCTACGCAGTAAAGAAGTGCTGAATGCATCCTCATGAAAGGTTTGACTTCTCGTTGCTGAAAATAAAGTTCTTCAAAGACCTAATTTTTTTGGGGACGCTTCTTTTAGAGAACTGTAATATACATGAGTAATCGTAAATCTCGTAGTCTTCAAAAATGTCTTCGTCCCTCCCCAACAAGCTTTTTGAAGGACCTTATTATTGCTGAAAGCTCAAAAACTCCCATGTGCTGCTCAAAAACCTATGGGAACAAAATGTTCGAACGTGTGATTTTCTCGGAACGTGGATATTGAAAAACGCTTTGGTGCTTGTTAGAAAGAGCAAATCCTGTACTTTCAACATTTGAAAAAAGTACATTTCAGAAGTGAAAATGAAGTGAGTCATTCCTGCTTAAAGCCCGAAAACTCGCGATTTCAAAAAAGTGTTCGGCAAAACCCCCCAAAATGTTGGAACGTGCGATTTTCGCGAAAAATGAACGGTTTAGTGTTAGGAAGAGCAAGTCGTGTACTTTTACCCCATGAAAAGAGTGCATCACAGAAATGAAAATGAAGTGAGTTATGGCCGCTGAAAGCCCAAAAACTCCTTTTGCACGGAAAATGTTCGAGCGGGACAATTTTTTTAAAGGGTCAATCACTGAATTTTTCATACTATTTAGATAGAGAAATATTTGAAGTTCCGAAACTTTTGACATATTTCCAAAAGGTCGCATACGAAAGATAATATGGGCCTTCAAAGTTGAAAATGCACCTCCTTAGAATTTTGGGTTTTCCACTTCTAACAGAAGTACTTTCCGAATAGTTAGGCGATCCTTGTCGCTTTCTGAAAGCGCACCTCAGGCGCAATCAAAATCTATCTCAACAATTCAAAAAATTACGTCCCAAGAAAGTTATCCCCTCCAAAATTTTTTCTTCGCCGCGTCCCGTTCTTCCAGCGCCCGGCTGATGCCTGCAGCGCTCCAAGGCTGACGCCGCAACGCAGGCGCTTTCTGCGGCGGCGGCGCAGACGCTTTCTGGCGCAACGGATTCATGTCTAGCACTCTTATTAACAAAAACAGGGGGTCGCAACTGGACCCCCTCGAGAGCTAGGGGGTCGCCAAAATCCCTATAATGTTCGAACGTGACGGTTGACCCTGGCTCGGAGTCAGTCCCGCGATAGGCTCGGCACGTTTTTTCACATGGTGGTTTCAGCTTGACTCGAACGCTCCGCAGCGAAGATTTTGACGAGATCTTTCGAAGATCTTTCTGACGCGACACAATACTACTGCCCATCTTGACCTCGTCACCGCTGTAATCAGGTGACAATTGTCACACAAGCTGACGGAGCGTCTTGAGTGCTTCCAGAAGCCCGTCCTCTGGGATCCTCAGGAGTTAGAGCGAGAGATTACGATAAAGTGGGTATGCAGCGTGAAAGTATGTGCACAACTGGAAGCAGTGGTCAGGGGTCGAAGGAAACGAAACGTTGCGTATTGTGGCCAACGGTGCGCTGGCTGCAGCGTACAGGGCTTGCCATTCCCTTCTGAGTTCCGCCACGGCTTGTGCTCCGCCCCCACCAGCAGCGCCCTCCGATTATCATTTTGATAAGGTATTCCACTTCCAGTATGTATTTTATAGCTTTTCAATGGGATGCGTGATCAATCAGAGCAATGCTTGCTGAAATGATAGAGGCTATCAGCATAACAAACAACAGCAGTACGACCTAATAACGACCTAATTGGTTGCTAGCTCGTAAATTATCCGAGGTCAACGGGCGAAGAAAGCAGTCACATTTTGCGCCTTTTTGACAGATTTACTTGCTTTTTTAGCCACTGGGGCATTATTCAGTATCCCTACTTCAACAATGAACCCAGCCCAATCTCATCGTAATCTCTTACAGGTAAACAAGTTTTGGAAATGTGGTCATTAGGTACCGCACGATTTCACCGGGTGGACATCTGCACATGTACCTCTCGTCGCACAGCAGCAACGATAGGCCGTGGCATGTCGTCATTGGCGATGACAAGAGTGCTGTGTGCTTCAGCCATATGCGACAGCAGTAGTGGCTTGGAGTACGAGGAACTGGAGTTACAATTCCTCGACCTGAGAATTATGGGGGGATGGTGATGCTGTAAAATTTCTGGAATTTTGACTGTATCTCCCACGGGTAGTGCTGTCTGCAGGATTGACGGTACAAGGACTGCACACTGCTAGCTGCTGAGAACGGTTGCAGAAAAGCTTGACCGAATATAGCGACATTTCACCCTGCTTCGCGACAACGGGCGACGGCACGGGTTTTCATTCTCAAGCCACAAGATTCTCAGGCAAGGCTGGACCGTGGCTGCCCGTCTGCCATATTCGCCAAACCTATCCATACACGTCTTCCACCTTTCCTGCTCGCCTGTTCATTACCTGGAGAGCAGAAAGCTCGACGACGAGAAGGATCGCAAATCCGACTTTAAAAGGTTGTTTGACCAAAATTCTCCTGATTTCTACAAATATGGTGTCAGTTGCCGGAAGGTCGGTGTAATGATGCTGCGATGCTAAAAAACAAAAAAAAACTTCGAAAAAACAAAGAATAAAAAAATGAATTTCAAAATTTCAAACCTTTCAACCTAATACAAGCATATGATTACAATATAGACCCTAGTATACTGTGAAACTAGTTAGTATGAAAATAGAAACCAAAACCACTGGCTGGCATGTGAAGGTAAACGCAGGACTTCTCAACGTAGGCTGACTTCTCGGGGTTGCGGACCACGAAGTTGAGTACTCGATTTGGTTGATGTGTCCTCGTTGCACTTGCAGTAGCGTGTCATCGAAGAAAAGGATAGCTATCGTGAGATAAATTTTCCCTAGTTCTCACCCTCTGTTTCACCTTTACGCTTCAGAAGAATTTCTTCTGCTTGTAATGTCAAATGAAATCGCACATTTTATTGATTGCTCTAATACATGCATCACTAAAGTTCACATACATTAGATATAATGACATGGAAGTGAACTACTCGCTACAGTCGTTCAGAGTACTACAGTATGATCCTATACTTACTAAAAAATGAGATCTTTCAAACA